TTGCGAGTCCTAAACTGGCAGTCAGTCATCCCCCAAGGGGTTCCCAATTGGAGAGGGTGCAGGCTGGGCACCCCCCCCCACCCCCCACCTGCACAAATTTCGTGCACCAGGCCACTAGTTAATAAATAATACAAGAATAAACTTCATATGCACAACTGTAAACCTACTTTTGTCCACCCTGGATATTTATTTTGCAAATAATCCTGTACACTGACATTACTCATAAAAGCAAAGGGAAAAGTAAAATATTGTAGATTTATGTGGAAACCTCTGGAAAGTATATGTTTAACTGCCATTATAGAAAAAAATTTAGGTTATATTACATACATGTGGTAGAGTAGGGCAGTTTTATTCCTGCAAATCTATTTTTGAATAGTGTAAAGATCTGAAGTGGTGATAATTTGAGGTTCAAAATTCTATACATGAGAGTGAATGTAATATTACCTCATCAAAAATAGTTATAAAATACTACTTTAAATGACTTAAAATTTTTTTGTTTGCATTTTTAAGTGAGATAATCTTTTATTATTAAGGGCCTATTCTATGTCCAGTATTTCACTTTAGTCTAAAAAAAAATGATCTCTGTCAGCAAAGAACTTTTAACCTAGATCAGGGGTGGGCAACCTTTTTGTGAGTGCGTGCCAAAACCAGCAAAATCTGACTCAAAATTCTTCTGCGTGCCAACCCTAATTTTTTGAGAACATGTTACGCCTATTTGATATCTTTTAAGGTGTATGTATGTGAAGAACCTTGAAGAAATAATAAAATTCATTCGAGTGACAAAAACACTATATGATGATGAAAACTACATTTATTTTTTAATGTGTACATATACACTGATAGTCCGACAGAAAACTTTATCACTCCGTTTGATATTATCACTGGGACTTTTGCTGCTGCATCACTGATGACAGAGATTTTACATCAGGTTTATATTTCGTGACCTTCAGAGATATGCACGAGCTACTACTTTCATCTGTCAGGCTACTCCTATTATGAGACTTAACAAAATTCATCCCTGAGAACAAAGATTCACAAGTGTAATGTGGCTGAAACCAAAACGCTGGACGGATCTAGAAAGGCAGGGAGAGTTAAGGCAGAGGCATAGAAATTGCTCTTCCCCTCTCTCGTCATTCCATGTCTATGGTCTTTAAGATAACTTGTTATGTAAAATTATTTATCTAAGATGCACCTACTCTGAATTTATCTGAAAAATAAAAAAATCAATATTAAGAAAAAAATTGTAAATGGAAGATTATAAGAGAGGGTTTTGCGTGCCAGTAAAAAGTTACTGGCGTGCCATGTTTGGCACGCATGCCAGGGGTTGCCCACCCCTGGCCTAGATGGAATATTATACTTATGTACAACAACAACTAGAGAATAGTGGACTATAAAGTCTGTCTTGCTGACTTGAAGTGCAGTAGAAGCTCAAGGAAATGAGGACTTAGACACATAAAAGAAGGCTTAGAGAAGGTAGAAAATGAGCCGGGCTTAAAGAATGAATTTCAGACCCACCAGTGTGGCTCAGTTGGTTAGAGCGTCCTCTTGTGCACTAAAGGGTCTGGGATTCGATCCCTGGTTGGGGAGTGTACGGGAGGCAACCGAATGATGTTTCTCTCACATCAATGTTTCTCTTCCTCCCCTCCCCTCCCTCCTCCTCCCACACACACACACACACACACACACAACACAACACCATATCCTCAGGTGAGGATTTTAAAAAAGAAATATTGGAAGGAAATCTAGGCTTACATTAGACAATTTTATCCTGAACATTAGAGGATCTATGGCTTTTAACTAAGCAAATCAAGTTAGAAATATTGAAAAAGTTGCAGAGAAAAATTCTATCAGGATATTTTTTTGCCCTAGTAAGATTGACCTTTACCACTATGGGAATGATTGTGAATTAATACCAAAGTATTTTTAAGCTAAATAGAAACATTCCTTTTCCAATCCATTCTAATTTGCATCCAAGCCTTAGCTCAAGTTATCTACTCCTACAATGTCCTTTCCCTCATCTTCAACTTTCTAAATCTTAGGCTTTCTGTTCTCTGCATGAAATTTTCCTAGTTCATTTTCCTCTTCAGCCACAAATATCATTTTTATTTTGTGCTTCTATACCTCAGAACAATGAATATATCTTGCCTTATAAGCAGGGACTATCATGTTTTATTATGTACTTTGCCAGCCTAACATAGCAGGTGTTTGATAAATGGCAATTGAGTGCTGAAAATCAGCAGAAATGGCTTTATGATAAAATATATTCTGAAAAGAGTACCAGCTAGATAAATGTAATGCTCATTTCCTGGTAGTTTAGGAGTTCTCTGCCTTTTACCACGTATTGAGGCTCTTCTCATTCTATACTATGCATTTACGTTCATACCTCAAGTTTTAGCTACCTTACAGTGTCCTTTTAAAAAATTTTAAAGTCAGAAACCTATGGATGGGGTATGAATAGTTGGAAGACCGGTGAAATTTTAATATTCCTTTTTGAGGCTTGTTAGTGAACTAACATCATCTAAAGCTTTCTGAATATAGTTTGTTTTCTGTTGGCCTTTATTTGTGTGTCTGAGGAGATTGACTATAGTAGAAAGAAAAGTCCTTACATTAAAAAACACTTTTCAAGAAATAACATTACCATAGTAAAAAAATAAATGTATTGAGTATCAGCTGCAGTTCTTTTTAAAATAAATATATTTTTATTGACTTAAGAGAGGAAGAGAAGAGAGAGAGAAACATTGATGAGAGAGAATCATCAATCGGCTGTTTCCTGCAAGCCCCTTACTGGGGATAGAGCCCACAACCCTGGCATGTGTCCTGACCAGGAATAGAACCGTGACCTCTTGGTTCATAGTTCGATGCTCAACCACTGAGCCACACTGGCCAGGCTTGGCTGCAGTTCTTTAAAGTGAGTCTATAAAGAAAATGGTATGCTCCTGACTTCTTACTGGAGCGATCTTATTGAGTGAAATAGCTTTTCTTAGAAACTTTGGATAATTTTATTAGAGACTAAATTACACCAAAAAAAGGTTTAAGAAATCTAAGAAGGCAAAGAAAATTGTGGATCAAATATGCAGCAATTGCTTTCATTGTTATCATAATGTGATTTAAAAAAAAATATTAGGTGCCCCAGCTTTTATTTAAAATCTATAGGACATGTTTTTCCAGAATCTAGGTATAAATTATTCTTAACTGTTAGGCAAAAGTCAGGAATTTAACCAGCAATTAAATAATGGTTCCTATGGCAAAGCAGTTTCCGCATATATTAATTTACTTTATAACCTGTTTTCTAGGCATATATTTTGACACCTAAGGCACATGAAGAAAGGATTGAGATTGGAAGCTACAGACACTGTCTGTTCTGAGCAGAGTTTCTGACAATAGACCACTGTAGCAAAGGGCAATAAATGCCACTGAGAATATCCCTCAACACAAATCTGTAAGTATCTTTTGGGAATTACAGGGGATTAGAAAATTGTCTCTGCTGACTCGATAGAAAAAAAATGTCTTCATTTTGTAATTTGTGGTCTGTATGCTTGTAAATTAAGATACATTGAGTTGTCAAGTAGAGGACTGGTTTGTGGGTGAGAATTTAAGTCAAAACACAATGCAATAACTTGAAACCTTTGTCTTAAAACCTTAGATAAAAGGTTACATGAATTTGGATAACTACATTATTAAGTTATTGGACCTTTGCCTGGAAAACCAATTAGAGGATTTTAGCCTTGATATGGCATGAAGTTAGCATAACCCAGCATCTTGAAATAACAGTGGAAGTTGACAAAGTAATGGAATTTTTGGAAATCAAATGTGGCAGTACCATATATAGAAGGATTCTATGAAATAAAGTCTAGTGGTAAGGAAGCTGGGCTTGTGACTATTTTAGTAATCTAGGAGTGAAGAAATCCCAGACAGAATAATGGCAATGAGAATGGAGATGAAAGAATAAAAGATATTTCAAAAGGAAAAAGTATAGAACATCACAATGAGTTGGATAAAAGGGTGGTGTCAAAAAATAAATGTTTTGTACTAGACAATCATGGTATCATTGAAAGTGGACTGTTGAGAAGCTGGTTTGAGAAGATGCTGAGTCCCATTTTTATCATACTGAATTTAAGACAATATGCAGGAATTTCATTTGAAATGCTTCGATTAAAGGTTGTGAATATATAGAACGAGAATTCTATGTAAAAGTCATTCTGGAGAGGTAAATTTATCAGTATCCTCATAAAGCTGATAAGGGTAGACAAGCTATCTGAAGCTCTTTGTTATGGACAAGATCCCTTTCTTTAAAAAGAAATATGTAGAGCTGGTTTGGCTCAGTGGATAGAGCATTGGCCTGCGGACTGAAGGGTCCCAGATATGGATCCGGTCAAGGGCCCATGCCCGGGTTGCAGGCTTGATCCCAGTAGTGGGTGTGCAGGAGGCAGCTGATCAGTGATTCTCTCTCATCATTGATGTTTCTATCTCTCCCTCTCCCGTTCTCTCTGAAATCAATAAAAATATATTTTAAAAATAATAAATTAAATATGTAAACACATGTTTATGTAAATAAATTATTTGACTAAGTATGTAATCTTAAATAAACATTTCCAAAATTGAATTAAAATTCTTCATTTTTTTCTTGGAGTGTCATATCTCAAGCTTATTATGCCTGTAAGAAAATCAGTTATGAGGGTCAATGACTAAAATGTGTTCATATTCTTGAAACTTAACCTCTACTTCCATTAATAAAACAAAGATCTTTCCCAGTATTAAATTGAAGGAACAAAATTGAGAATTTAAAATCCAAATAATTCAATCAATTAAAACTTTGTAAAATTGACATGGCTTTAATTTAGCAAATGGAAAGGCAAATAATTGAATTGTGGGAAATGTGCTGGTCTCTAGTTTCAAGAAATAGTACAGCACAAAGAACTGGCATTCTGGCTGAAGAAGTGTAATAATAAACAGAAATTTGAAAACCAGGAAGACAGGTTTTTCAAGAGTACAACTGTAGCATTTCAAAGGTGGTATAACAAGAAATTCCAGAGTTGGCCAAAAATGATTTAGATAATTGAGATTCCGTATTTGAATACTTGTTTTTGATGGAGAAACATGTTAAGAGGAAATGAAGGTTCTAAGAGATCTGGAACTTTTCCTCCTCCTTACCCTAAATTGGGCTTGCTTCTGAAGAGAAGGCTTAGCCAAAAATAATCAAATAGGAACTCAGTACTGCTTAAACTGTAGGCAGGTGTTTAAAAAGTTACCAAAGGGAAAACAATTTTAAAAATTGTTTAATTAATTAAAAGCAAATATTTTGGTTTTCTAGAAACTAAACATTGTTTTGTATAATTCCTATTTACCTAGCGATTACCTGTCTGTAAAGTAGCCACATGTCGTTAGACAGAAATACCATATTATTCTACATCTTTAGTTGATTTTTTATGTTCTATTTTAATGAAATGTAAGGAAACCTAAAATGTTCATCTGTGCTTCCAAACAACCTTTAAAAAACTCAGTAATATGTCTTCTGGGCATATACCAGGATCTTTAGACTAATTCACTTCTATCCTTGAACCATTTGATTAATCCAAGTTCAGTGAACTTCCAGTCAGGTTATCCAGATATGGGAACTTTTTCCCCCCCTGTATTTCTACCCTAGTTACGTCTAATTTACATGCCTGATCTGCTGACTTCTGTCTTTTCATGACTAAATTATGGAGGTAAGTAAAGGTTTAATATCGCTCATAGTCATGTAACCTTCATTCTGAACTTATATTCCTTTAATGTTTTTTAAATTACTAAGCACTCTTGTAGCATTGTATTTTTTATTAGCAAGTTATGTATATTCGTTTTAGGTGGGCTGTTGTACTGATTAGATGTATACTTTTGTGTAACTTTCAACTAGTTAGTATTTCTATATACATCAATATTTCATCTCATTTTGTAATCACCCAAGAAAACATCTAATAGAAAAATGCTCTGTAGTCTTTACTTGAATCAAGTCTTTCAGACATTTTACATAAAGTATCCTCATCCATCTTTGAATCTACTATAATTCTTGTTTTTCTAAGTGCCTGTTTACTGATAATGTAGCATTCCGAATTTTTCACTTCAGTTCAGTTTGGACTGTTGGATGTCCAGCACTGTGGGGAAAATAAAGCAGTCCCAATCCTCATCTTAAAAGAATTTGTGGAACCTCAGACATTGCAGCCAGAATTTCTCAGGGTCTCTTTTTACAAGAAGGGTAAGACAAACCTATCCTGTTTGGCTTCCATCTTGGGAACCCAGAGATATTCCAAATTCTTACCAGAGTGTGAAAATGGAGAATAACGTGATATAGAAACACTGAATATTTGGTATGTTTAACTCGACTGAGAGGAAAAAGCCTCTTTAAAGTAATGTTTTCTGGTTTTGAGGTACTGATATGAAATCTGCAGGTGCAGAATGCTGCCTACCTAAAAGCTCTCTCTGGTTAGACAAGTCTTAGGCACATTTTAGCTTTGGGAACATAGTCTTATTTTGCTGCATGTTATTGCTTTTTTGTTCTATGTCATGCTTACTACTCATTTCCCATGTAAGGTGTTTGCTTTTTATCCATTTAAAGACATGTGGTTGGATCTATCTCATAGTTTAGATAAATACTAAGGCATTTTCTAAGCTTAATAATTATGAGATGCTGAGTTTTTTGGCAAAATTTGTACAGAACTTTTCTTCTCTAGGAGGTCCACTAGAAGGCCAAATAATTCTTTAGGTGTAGTTCTGTGGCAAAGCTGGTAATTATGTTTTGTTTAAAACACTAAGTTTGATGTCACATTATTCTCTTTGATGGCTTCTTTGGCTCCAGAAAGGTAATAAAAATTCCTAAATTAAAAAAAAAAATTTCCTTAGTGGCTCTACATTGCTAAACTTGCTGTTACAGAATCAACTTCCCCAACACAGGAAAAATAACAGTAACATATGGGAGATTTAGAGGGCTCTTACCAAGTCATTTATTATCCCCCAGCAAGGTCTCTGGTGATGTGTCCATTTCTATTATTTATGATAGAGAATCAATACAAAAGCTTACAAAGTGAAGCTGAAGTTTGTCAGATGAAAACAGTATACAAATTAGAAACAGCAATTATTCCCTAAACCATGTATTTCTCAAGTTGCTTTCCCTTGACCATTTTATATTATTTTTGGCTCCTGATTTTAGATATATTTTCAAAGCAACTCAAATTAATTCTGAACTCTTTCTAATTATGACATATATTAAATCCAAGAGTAAAATTCAACACTAGAGCTTCTTTTCAGAAAATCTCTGCAGGGAGAACTTCCAATTGCTTATAAGGTAAATTAAGGAGATTGAAGAATAAGCTAAAATCTTTAGTGCCTTATCAGAAATGAAACTGGGTGATGGAAAAAAGCTGAAACAAAAGAGAAGTGGGATAATAAGGGAGGCCTGACTATTGATGGTACAGTTAAGACTGACAAACACTAACATGTCATTGTGATGAGTCATACTTGTGTATATGAGATTGAGTCCGCAGGCCGACGCTTTATCCACTGAGCCAAACCAGTTAGGGCATATGTATATGATTTGATGAACAAAGTTTTCAGCATGGTTTGCCAAGACAAATTTCTGCCATTATTTTCTTATAATTGAAAAGAAAATTGACAAATAATTTTATTCAAGAAGTTAAGAGTTAAGTGGTGCCCATATGAAAATGTTAGTCTTTTTTTTCCTAAGGCAAGCAAGTTTTTAATTTGCCTGTGGTGCATCTAAACATATCACTATTTCCTTCTAACTACATTTGCCTGCCTCCCTTTCTTAAAAAAGACTCAATTTTTTGCATGTCTTCACATCCCAATCACAGAGTCCCACTCTGTTTTGGAGTGAACACCAGAGGCTTACTGAAGTGATCTTGACAGATGTGTCTCCAGATATATCTCTAAAATATTTACTAAAATAAGAAGTTCAATCCACTCTAACAGTCACTTCTCTATAATGAACATTTTTTTAAGTGTAGCAGTCTGTCTCCTAAAAAATCTCCACATTGTGAACTCATGACTTTTAGACACTATTTAATAAAAGACATTATTTTAATTTAAACCCATTATCAATGTTATGTTATATTTATAGTAAGCTCCAGAAGGGAGGGCATTGTTTTGTTCCTTGCAGTATCTCCAATGTCCAAAATAGTATTTGGCACATAGCAGATGCCAATAAATATTTATTGAATGAATTAATAAATGTTATGTACATTATGTTTCCACAGGTAATGTTTCTATTAGTGCATTAATAAGAACATTTCTCATCAAACTAGTTTTCTGCAAATGTGAATGACAAACTCATTAATACAGTTTAAATATTTCCTGTTACAATATTTTTTGTTTCAGTATTTTAACCAGTTATCAGTTTTTAATAATCTTACTAGCAAAACACTATAGAGAATTAAATAGTGTTACATATATAACCATTTCAACTATACTCAACTAGTTAAAACATATACATGCCAAAAACTTAACAGAATAGAAATATTGTGCCCTAGAATATGATGCTAGAAAGGGAACCAGACCAAACACACCATCCCCAAAACTAAGATGACGCACTAAAACAACTAAGTTGGCTTTTCTGCAGAAAAGAGAATGCCACCAAAATCAAAACACTTGGTTCATAAAGCTTTTTTTCTTATTTGGGTCATTATTTTTAGTTGCTAACCTTAACATTACTAGTCTTAAAGTATTTTGCACTTTTATAATAGACATAATCTTTTCAGATACTGTTGGGAAATTTTTTTAAAAAATTATTTCTTCCCTACAACCTGGTACACAAATCTGTAAGTAATTACTAGAAATGTCTGGAATACATTTTTTTTTTACTAAGCGGAGGAGTTTCACAGGAAGGATGGTAAAATTTGTGTCAATGGGAGGTAATGGGCCATAATATGCCATAAGAGTCCCCCTTACTCTGCATACTGTCTTTCAGGTATGGCTCTTCCTTTTTTAAAAATAGCTAATACTTTTACATGGTCTGGTGGAAAAAAAAGCCCTTCTCCCATGCCTAAACCCCACTCACCGAGTTCCCTCTCCACAGGTGACCTGGATCTTTGCTGACAATTTCATGGATATATAAGAAAACGAGTATATTTTTTCACAAATGGAAATTATAAAGTGGAAATATATCTTTTTCAACATTATACATTGTTCTGCACATTTTCCCCTTATAAATATTTGACAATCCTTCCTTATCTGTTTATGAACTGCTGCCCTATTCTTTTTAAGAGTTGCATAGTATTTCATTGTATGAACCATAATTTACCCATTCCCTATTGATGAACTTTGAGTGTATTTCTAATCTTTTGCTGTTATGATGATTATCAGTTGAATGTGATCTCCTTGAGAATAATTTCCTTCTTACTCATTTTTTTAATCCTGAAAACTTAGTATAGTGTCCAACAAATGTTTAACAGATGTTTTTGAATGAGTTAATTGTACTTTTTAAAATGGTCCTCAACTGCTTCCACTCTATGGTTTTTTAATCCTATGTACAAAGTACTTGGTGCTCTTTGACTTAATGATTCCTCTTTTAAATGTTTATCCTATTTAAAATGACACATATGTAAGAATTCCTACAAGAGGAATCACTAAGTCAAAGTATATGTGTATTTAAATCAGTGGTTCTCAACCTTCTGGCCCTTTAAATACAGTTCCTCATGTTGTGACCCAACCATAAAATTATTTTCGTTGCTACTTCCTAACTGTAATGTTGCTACTGTAATGAATCATAATGTAAATATCTGATATGCAGGATGGTCTTAGGCGACCCCTGTGAAAGGGTCGTTTGACCGCCAAAGGGTTCGCGACCCACAGGTTGAGAACCGCTGATTTAAATGTTAGTCAAAGTTATTCATAAAGGTTTTGATCAAATGTAGATGCTAATTAGTAACATATATTATTCTTCTCACTAAATATTTAGCCCAGTACTTTACACATAGTAATGTTAACACTATTGAGTAGATGAAGCTCATATATTCATGTGAGAAAAATTTGTTTTTATAATGGCATGTAAGTCCATACAGAGGAAAGGGAGCACATCATCACTATTAGTTACTGAGCGCTTACCATATGCCAGGAAATGTGTTGAGTATATTATCTCCTTTAATTCTCATATATCCTATAAAATATATATATTTTTATCCCCATTTGATAGATGAAGAAGTTGAGGCACAAATAGGTTAAATGACTTGCCCAAGTCATCTAGCTAGTAAGTGATTAAGCTGGGATTAGAAATCAATCAGCATGATTCCAGAATCCGTTCTTGAAAGCTATATAAATGTTCATGAAAAAGAAAAATGGAAAGAGGCATTGAAGGTAGAAGGAATATGTGGCAAAGCACCAAGTGCACAGTATTGTTCAGAAAGCGGCAAACAGTTAGAGTGGCTTAAGCATTGTTGAGGTGTGATTGCCCAGAGATGGCATGGTAGGAGACAAGAAAATGGCAATTTCCCTTTAAAAGAGAACAAAAAAACTCATTTCTTTTTCTGAGATTGCCCTGGCATGATGGCAGCCTCTGGTTTCACAGTTTTGTTCATGGCGAGAGCTTCAGGCCTTTTTATCCTTTCAAAACTATAGCATTCAGTTTTGTCTTCAGAGGATACTGTTCTATTACCAACCAGATGGAAGCCTTCCATTAATAAAGTGTCAATGAGTAAGCCGAGAACATTAGTTCCATTGGCCAATTTTCGACTATCAGGTTTTATAGAAACATACCTAGAACAAAAAAAACACACACACACTTAATTATAAAGCATCCCTTTAATAACTAGCAAAACTAAACACATAAATTTGACTTATAACCACTCATAAATGTATCATACCCATTTTCATCAGATTTTGTTTTGATACTTCATTTATAAATCCACATCAGTAATTTCAGGGTACTGAAAATAGTTATCTTACTATGATTTCTAAAGTCATTTAAATTCTACACTTAAGAATGTAACTGGCACTGATGGATTTTCGTTGAGAAACTATTTTCTGGAGCAAACAATTTGGTCAAACAATTACATTTATTAAACATTGCTTTAATTAAATAATATAATTAATTGATTTAGTCATTTTAATGAACATTATACATTTATAATTTTCCCCCTAGATTTAATTTACCAGCACTGATATTACACATTTTCTTGTATGACTTATTCTTATCAAACACATTTTCTCCAGGTAAATTTTGCAGATATAAATTATCAAGAAGAATTTATTGTGAAGTTTTACTCAATAACTGTCTAAATATTGCAAAGCAAAACATGGGATCAAAAAGCCTCTGCCTATTTCCTGGGAAACTTGATAGAACCAATCTAAATAATTATAGAAAAATGAATCTGTACTTTTCAGATTGGTTATATGTTGGCTTTAATAATGTCAATATAACATATTCAATAGATATAGCTGTATTACTTCTTCTTTATTTACCATCAAGGATATTTTTATGTCTTTGTGTACTCCCACCATTTGTTTATGAGATAGGAAGAAGAGGCCAACTTAAATTAGTTCTAGGCTGGAACCTAAACTATCTGCAGTTTTATGGGATAAAAAGAGCCTTGGGGACATCCCTAGTCTTTTAATTATGACTGAAATAGAGTGGCTTATTGTAGTTCACATTCTAAAGCTCATTCTAGGCGAAGAAAGCAATTCAATAATAAAATGTAAGAATTGTAAAACTACAAAGTACATATCAAAAAACTATTTTTTGCCCTGGCCAGTGTGGCTCAGGGATTAGAGTGTCAGGCCACGAACTGAAGGGTCGCAGGTTCCATTCCTGGACAATGGCATGTACCTGGGTTGCAGGTTCGATCCTCGGCCCCGGTCCTGGTAGGGACGCATATGGGAAGCAGCCAATAGATGTGTGTCTTTCATATTAATATTTCTCTCTCTCTCCCTCTCCCTTCCTTCCACTCTCTGCAAAAGCAATTTAAAAAATATCCTCAGGTGAGGATTTTTTAAAAAATGTTTATTATGTCTGATATAGTAAATTTTTAACCTTAGTAAATCATTCCATCTACCCGCAAGTCCCAGATCTTAATTATATAGAGTAGGAACAATTTTCAATTAGAAAAACAGTTATAGAGCATCTCACAAAATAAAGTTACAAATAGTATACTATAGGTTATAACAAAGTGGAATGCACTTGCAAGAAATCACTGAGCCAAAGTACTTAATTCCCTCTGAAGCCAAATTGAGAAATGACAGTTTCACAGCACCAGAAAAGGATAGAAGAAACCAATGAGAAATAGAAAACAAAACGTATTTTAAAAACTTAAAAGGCAGTTACACTTTTCCATTTGACCCAGTTTAAAAAAGGAAAAGTGAGATAGAATAAAAGGCTACTGGGATTCTATGGTCTAGAATCCTATGACCATACGTTGAGCTTGATAATGTTACCACATCTGCAAGATGCAAGCCAAGAATTTCTAGTACTGTGAACTTGAGAGATAATAACTGAGCAACCTGTTAGGTTAACAAAACTTAGAGTAGTAAATTACATTAGTGGAACATACCAAACAACTGGATGACACACCAGACTCCTAGAAGCCAGTCAGGCTTATTCTCCACTTTCCACCTTCAAAAAACAACTGAGTGAACAGATTCAGACGAGGGAGTGAGCAAGAAATAAAAATGATTGCCAGCTAGGCAGTCATCTAAGGTGGATCATTTAAGCCTGGAGGTTTCATCTAGTCATCTGAAATCCCAATAACGTCACCTTATTCAGGTTATCTGTCTCTCCTTTGAAAACAGCACTATAAAGTAAAAATAAATAAAACATTCTGGGATAGAAAAAATTCTGAACTTCAATTGAAAAGAATACTATTTGGGGATGAAAAAAAGCTTTCAACTTTTAAAACTAGGTACTGTTTTGGGAATTATCTATTTTGGAAGTTTAATGCCATTCTCATATTAAGATGAAACAATTTTGTAATATTTCTAAAACACAAACACTTTAATAACAAAGGGAAAACCACTTGATACTGTGTACATGCAAGGATATCCCAACCTGAGTTTCTAATCTTGTTTTTCAAGATTACAATTATTTTCTCCAACTGCATAGTTTTTAAAGAGCATTTAAGTATTTCCAGGATGTCATTTTTTACCTTGCATGTTTCTTCTTAAAACCAATAACACCATTTTTTCTTAGGTTTCCTTAGGATCCCTTTTACAAAAGGGATACTCAAAGATCTTAATCACTCAAATTTTAAAAACCAAAAAACTGGTCATTTCCTATTTATGTTAGTGCCCCACCAATGAAAAGAATGTCGTGCATGGAGTTATCTTAAAACCATTTGAGATGAGAGGGTCTTACTTTTAGTCACAATCAGCCTATTAATTTAACTGGTTCTCTTCTCCCAAAATGACATTTCAACCTCTTTGCAAGGGCAGGAATTATGAAGTATAATAAGTTAAGAATTATACTGCTCAGTGTTCCCCAGTTGCAAGACCGAGGGGTCTTGTGGATGGGCAAACATTGGTATTTCCTGATGGCTGCTGCTGAAGTTAAGAAAATATCCCCAAATATGCCTACCGTTATGTCCCAAAAAAGTAATTTTATGTTAGAGTCCTGGTGCACAAAATTCGTGCGCAGGGTGGGGGGGGGTGCGGGGGAAGGGGTGGTACCTCAGCCCGACCTACACCCTCTCACAATCTGGGACCCCTTGAACTTCCCTCTCGCAATCTGGAACCACTGGCTCCTAACCACTACCCTGCCTGCCTGCCTGCCTGCCTGATCGCCCCTAACTGCTCGCTTGCCTGCTTGCCTGATCGCCATTAACTGCTTATTATATATACCCTGTTGCTTTATAAGAGTATGCAAGGTCAACTGGCTATCTGGTCTAATTAGCATATTATGCTTTTATTATATATACTACATGTAAAAAAATATGGAGACTTTTTCTTCCTCTTGAAAATCGAAGCCAATTTTCACAGCTAGTAAAATAATGGTGGGACATTATTAAAATAATTTTAAGGGGGAAAAAGATACCGACAGCAGAGTGGAAATTAGCCATAGGGTCCAGTCAAGAACAGTAGGGGGATAAAGTAATTGACTCAGGAGCAACTATCCTTAACATACTGACGGCCTATACCAATAGTTTGAGTTGTCTAAGAGTGCCAAAGATGTAAAAGGATAACAGATTTGCCATGGATTATCTGCCTTAATGGTGTTTAAAAATAAAGTAGAATGGAGAAAAATCAGTAGTCAAATCATAAGGCCTGAAAAAGCAAACATACATAAAGTATGAGGAGATCAGGATAAACGATTGAGCCTTCACTATATGCCAGCCATTATTAGGGGTTAAAAAAAAAAGTTTTATTCCTAAGCCAAATTTACTAGCAATGGAACATTTTCTATAAAATTATTTCTTCCTACAACTTTAGTGACCACAGTCCCAGTTTTCCCTGGACAGTCTTGGTTTATTCCTATTGTCCCACATAATAACAAAACCCTCTTTCACTCTGAAAAGTACCCCAGTTTGGACAATAATTATCTGGTCATTGTGCCCAACTCTACTGGCTACCCCAAAACATTGAGTCATAATGTATTCCAAGAAAAGTTGTAGGCATGAGAAACTTTTCGTTTTGAGGGGAAACATCAGGAACTGATATAGAAGAGAGATGCTTCAAAGTACAAAATACCTGACTCCAGTTTGGTTATCAGTAACGCTGTCCGAGCCACACTGGAAAACCAGGTCGTGGTAAGAAGGTCTTTGTGGAGGCAGTGGAAGTAAGGTCATCTGAGGAGGGCAGCAGTTACTACTCCAGGTTGGTGCTGAAGGTTGCTCTATAAACACTGTAATCCTCCCAGTTAACATCTCAATTGTTTTGCTGCAAGAGCCAAACACCCTGAAAAAAGCTTGAGTGTTTCGGCTTAGGAAATACACCTGCACAAGAGCAGGTCTTGGCTGTAGCAGGAGTTCTTGGTTTAAGAGATCAACCAGAGGATCAAGTTCATAGAAAAGAGCTTCTCTCTGAAGCCTAAGATAGTCTGAAAAATCAGGAGGTAATATAAGCCGTTGAGTTCTCAAAAAATCTAAGATGAAACTAAATAAAACACCATCTCTGTCGACAAAAATCTGGCCACCATCCATCTTGAATTCTTGGTCTCTGCCATCTAACATTCGTGTTAGCCGAGAGGTAGGAAACTGCTTTATGGTAGAAAATCTTGTTGTGAATATCTTCCCTCCCACATTCAGAGTGACCAGTTTCTGACCACTCATTCTTCCCTTGCCTCAGATTAGAGGCTACAAACCTTCTGCCACAAACTTAAGAACTTGTACATCAAACTGTAACCATAAATGTTGCTAGTTATATAATTAAGTGGAGAGAGGAGAAAATAACAAAAAAACAAAGACCTAGATTTCCAGGTAACTACTGTAAAGCAAATAGTGTATCCATAGTTGTGTTTGCAAATTTGAGTTGCTTGGGAACTTACAGTACACAAAAAAAGCAACAGATGAGAAACTAGACAGTTTAAGAAAAACTGACAATACATAAGGATAGGTGTCAAATAGATCCCTTTCCTGTATTCCATAAAAAAATTCTCCATGAAAAGCTACTGTAAATCTCGTATTTAAAAAAAAAAATACTGGGAGCAGAAAAGTCCTCCTCCTCCCCAGACCGCTTATCCACTGAATCCTCATGGCAGTGGTTAAGATTTAGAGAAACATTGTCATTTCTTATGATCCCTTTAGCAATTTCAATCACAAATTGTCAGTTAAGGATGAGACAGCCATTACCTCAACTAGCAGGTTAACTTGATTCTTCTCATAACTACAATGATTCTTCTGTACTTTAAATTGCATTGCCATCTTTTTTTTCCTATTTCCCTTGTATTATCTCTTCTCAACCAAATTAAAGGACTGGGGTAAAGACACTCTGGGCTTTCAAAGAAATGCCTTGTTCTATGACAGATGTAAGTTATACCAGAGAGCAGTTCTAAGATAAGCTCACTCTTGTTTTCCTTGAATTCTAAACAAGGAAATTAAGTATTCTTTGGGAGATAGGGTATCTTTACCTCATGTGAACAGATAGGACAGCATTAATGTTTAATGATTACTTTGTACTTTATAGTAGCTGACAGATTGTTTTCTCTATTGTCAAAAGTCTTACTACTCTTAAATTCTTCAAGCAAGTGGTTTGCTTGGTTGTACGGTTGCCAGGATACTTTGGGACAACCCACACTTAGCTGTCAGTAAAAGGAGGCTTTCCCATTTCCTGCTTTTACCATGTTACTTTTTTTAATCTATGCTTTCATTTGCACAGCCACCTGACACTTCTGTAGTTTATTACCAAACCCCTTTAGTGATAAATTTATAATACCTAAGGAGAAAAAGGCAAGCTAAAATCTCCACCCTCTTAAAAATGTACACTTATCACAAGAAAATGCCACTTTTTATTTGCACTTTATATGATTTACACTTTAGCAAAAAAGAAAATCTACCCTTGGCAGAAAAATCTGGAAATCCAATCCACCCGTTTCCTTAAAAAAAAAAAAGTTGCTTTATAAGAGTAGTCTTTATTAGATTCAATCACTATTACATTACCTCATCAATACAATATTACATCATGTGCTCTCTCACCTCCCCTTTTCACATAGCATAAACACAATATTGGGGAGTATGATACTTATTTCAAAAGCACTCTTTAAAAAAGGAGGGCTCAGGACTGTACAGTTAAATTTCACTTTTATCTTTATACTACCTAATTTGAAAGGCATGTGTAAGATATTACTTTTGAAGGAAAGTATCTGACTGGAATCTTTGACCAAATCTGAACTACCACTCTGTTCTCGAACAAATGTCTAACAGAAAAAGAGAACTATGCACTTAAAATAGATTTTATAATAGTTTATATTTGCACATAAACTCTGCCACATTATTCAGGACCACCAAAGTAAAATTCTTGAATCTTTCACTGAAAATGAAAAACCCATCTGTCACCTGTTCCCAGTAAAAAACTGATTGTTCTACAAAATCAGGCGATTTAGTCAGATAGGAACTGAAGTGTGAAAGATGGTCTTTCCAGGTTGAGAACTCATCAAATAAAGACCTTTCTAAGAATATAGTAGGACCGAAGAAAATGAGAAGGCCAAGCAGAATGACTACTACAAACTTATAAAAGCTCCAGGGAATCTTGCCAATGAGTATGCCAGTGTCTTGAGGCAAAGAAAGTTTATCCACATCTACTAGTTTTATGTCTTCCCACTGACTGGTATCAAAGTTCTTCATTAAAGGGCTTGTGGGCAAATTAGAGGGAGGTAAAGGAGTTTCCTTGATTACTTTTATTTTTTCCCTGAATTCCTGCATCTGTTGCAGAAATATGATTGGTTCTGACACGTCTTTGAAGGCCTCAGCAATGTTAAAGGCCATTCGTTGTTCCTGTAAGATGGTGTTGAGTTTGTTAATCTCTGGGTCATAGGCTTGCATAACTGCAAGTTTCATGGTCTCAAAGTCAGAAAGGATTTCATTCTTCTTTTGATCTAATGTGTGTTGTAACTTCTCAAAAAATTCCTTCACTTTATCTGAATCTTTAGTCAGTAACTGTAGAGATTTCCTTTTGTTAGTTTCCAAGGTATCCAAACGAGAAAGAGCATCTCCCCGACGCCAGGTCTGAAAGCTCTGAAAGAGGGACTCAAAGGCATCCCTTTCCTGAGCATAGGCATCTTCAATAGAACAGAAGACATGTTTGGTGTGGTCACCACGTGTAGCACAGATTCCACAGATCAGCTGCATATCAGTCAGGCAGAAAATGTTGAGAGGCTGCCCCAAGTGTCCTTTGCACACTGGCATTTTTGGAGAGATCTTGATCTTGTTATACTTCTCCACAATACCCTTTAGGGAGTAATTAACCTGCAGGCTATTGACTCCAGAGGCTGAAGTTTCCTTACGGCATGTGGGGCACTTGAATGGAGATGACCTCCACAATGAGTTCCGCCCAGTCCCCTCTAAGATCCCTTCTAAGCATTTTTTGCAAAAGTTGTGAGAGCAAGGCAAAACTCGAGGATCATCAAACAGACTGCAACAGATTGGGCACGTAAGATCTTCTTCAAGCAGCTCCATCACATCCTACCATAGAGAAATAAACATTTTATTTTATTCCAGTAACCTCCTCCACTTGCACTATATAATTATAAGAAACTATATTCATATATATTAAAAGTAACCTTTCACTGAAATAACAGGGCAAACAAAGGAAATAAGTAAGAAATCTGGGAAGGGAATGCACACCAAAGCAGATTTAATCTGCTGGGACTAGAACACACTCCTTATTAGCAGGGCTCCCTGTACACAAGGCCTTTGTGTGGGCTTTCCAACAAGTCTTTGGCTGACAGGGTTAGGACTAGGACAACTGCAAGTTGAGCCAGCAGCATCCAAGTGATTGTTTTAAAACAGAGAGCTGACTACTGCTGTCAGAAACAAAGCTACTCAGTTTCTGAGTAGAATGAGTTCTTTAGTCTGGGCCCACAATTATAAAATGTGCTATTTAAAAGAAAGCAGCACAGAAATATAAAGCCAAGCATGTATTCTCATGCATACTTTTATTTTAAAATGGCATTTTTGCCTGGCCAGTGTGCTCAGTGGTTGAACATCAACCTATGAACCAGGAGGTCAAGGTTTGATTTCTGGTCAGGACACATGCCCGGGCTGTGGGCTCTATCCCCACTAGGGGATGATAGTATAGGAGGCAGCCAATCAATGATTCTCTCATCGTTGATGTTTTTATCTCTCTCCCGCTCCCTTCCTCTCTGAAATCAATAAAAAATATAAATATGGCATTTTTCCTATTCAAAGGCAAAATTGCAATTATTAAAATGATAGGTAAAGACATAAAATGAGAGAGTTGTAATTCATTCTTCCTTAGATAATTAAATGCATTTTTTAAAATAGCAGAGCAGTAATCAAAGCCATCTTGTAGCATTAGTTTTCAAAATGTGGTGGACAGAAACCTGGGTATCACTAAGACTCTTTCAGGGCATCCAGGAGGTCAATACGATTTTCATCATAATACTGAGATGTTGCTTGCTTTTGGCACCATGTTAACCACTGCACTGTAAAAGCAATGGTGAGGCTGCTGGAAACTTAGCAGGAATCAAGCAAGGCAACACATAGTACCGAACTGTGTTGTGGAGTCTGTATTCCTCTCACCACCACATCAAACTGGGGATAGCCAGTTTCATTTAAGAATGTTCTTGATGAAGCAGTAACAAGTATTCATTTTATTAAATCTTGATCCTTTAATGATAAAATAAGAAGTAAACACACAGCACTTCTGCCACATACCAGCAGACAATTGCCTGGAGGAAAAACGCTTATGTGACTGAGTTGCAAGCTGAAACGAACCAACTGTTTTTGTCATGGAACACCATTGTTACTTGAGAGAACAAGTAAAAAAATTATGGCCATTTCGATTTAGGTATCTGGCAGAGATTTTTCTTGAAAATGAATAAAATGAGCCTATCACTTCAAGAGAAAAAACAGTATTTCTTCCCAATTGATAAAAGTTGAGTTTTGGGGTGAAAACTAGACCTTTGGAAAACATTGTCATTTAAGAGCTTGATAACTTCCCTAAATTAAAGACTTTTAGTGAGAGAAGTGGTGATAATAATAAATGTGGGGGTTTTTTAGTGGGAAGATTACTATATGATAAAATATGTCAAGATTTGCACAACACAGTGAACGAACAAGTTCAATCATCAATGCATGTTACAAATTATGCATGGGTAAAAGAGCAAAAGACCAAATATGTTAAAAAATATGATTTCAGATTCCATACTGTAACTTAACCTTTAAGAAACTACTGCTTGTTGAATTATGGTACAGAAGCAAAGATCCCCAATTATCAGAAAAGGCTATTAAAATATTCCTCCCCTCACCATCTACATATCTGTGCAAGGCCAGATTTTATTTTCTTTGTTTATTTCAGCCAAAAGAACTTACTACAGCAGAGGCAGATAAAAGACTCTAGGTGTTTTCTATTAAACAGTAATTCACCCAAATGGTTCAATGGTTAAAGCATAGGCCTGCACACCCGAGGGTCAAGGTTCAATTCCCAGTCAAGGGCACGTACCCTGGGTTGCAGATTCCAGGTTCGATCCCTCCTCTCCGGCTGGAGTGCGTGTGGGAGGCAACCAATTGATGTCTCTCTTACATCATTGTTTCTCTCTCCTCTCTCCTTTTCTCCCTCTTCCCCTCCCCCTCCCATCCACTCGCTCTAAAAATCAATGGAAAAAATATCCTTACTCTGGTAAGGATTTAAAAAATAAATAATTCATTAAAGAGATCTATATGTAAACCAATGCCACTCTTCTCACAAATGTGTCTCAAAAAAGTTGTTTTTCACAAATTATTTATGTTAACATGTAATAGGTTTATCTTGTTATTTAAATTACTATCTTAAACTTTTTCTGTTTTCATTTATAATAAATATCTACTGTACTGTACACATGTAAACAAAAGCTTCCCAATGCAAAGCTTATTTATTTTTATATGAACATTTTAAAACTTCTATCCTAAAATTTCAAATAGTGCTATATATGTCCTCATTCAGTTCTAGTTAGGGATACACACACATATATATGTATGTATGTATAATGTTACCACCAAAGTAATAAAAAAAAAAGGGTCTAATATTCAGAAGGCCATCTTATAATAAAAAATAAGTAAATAATTTTTTAACAGTAATTTTAAGAGTCGCAATTAGAGTTACAATCCAGAAGATAAATAGTATTTAAAAGATAAGCTGAGTTTGCAAGGCTAATTAGTTTATAGTTTTATGTTAAGTTGTGAAAGATATACTAATATACTAGTTTGTAGAACTAAAGCAAAGATTCTGTCAAATTGAGTGTCATATGGCAAATGTATGATGAACTGATTTTTCGGAAAACTCTTTTGTGAGACAAATCATACAACCTTTGAAAAGCACTGGGAAGAGAATAGCTATGAAGACTGGTGTGCTAGCTGAAAACACTGAGGGAAAACTTGAATATCCTCCGATCCTAGTCCTGGTTCTATACTTTATCACTTCTACTATCATCTTTCACCTATGAATTCTATGCGAAGGCTACATTTTGGAGTAGATAGAAATAGGAAAGTAGCAGGGTTTACTTATCCTTGTAAGGTTAATATTTCCAGAGAATCCTATTCAAGCATATTAAATAAATAAGAAAGAGGGGAAAAAAAGGATGCACAGTTGGTATGAGGAGGAGAAAAAGAGCAACCACAGCAAAGGGAAACTTTGAAGAAAACTGAGGATACTGCAATAGGAGCCAAAAAGAATTTTAAGGCAATTAAGTATGATCAAAAGTAAAAAGGAAAATGACACACAGAGGAAAATTTAGAAATAATAAAGTCATCTCAAAGCCATAATCAACTTACAACTCTTAAAATGAACTAGAGGAAAAAAATTACTATTTGCAAAGTCCTTTTTTTATAAATTGCATCAAAATTATGATAGATCCTATTGTTCCATTTTTAATAATATAGCATACAAATTTTGGTTTATAATTTAAAGATTTTTATTTTCATTCACTTTAAATACTTTTACTTTCTCATCCCTTAGCTTTATACTCAAAATTTTCTCTATGACAAAACTATGTGACCACTTCCATAGCTGAGTTTTAGAGAAAATTGAGATATATTCTAATCCAAAAAACCATGGCAAGTTTACTGCCTCAAAAGTTTTAAATGAAGCCCTGTCCGGTATGGTTGTTGGTTAGAGCATGGTGCCATACACCAAAGGGTGCATGAGGGAGGCAACCAATGGATGTTTCTCTTTCTCTCTCCCTCTCCCTCTTCCAACTTTCCCTCCTCCCCCTTCCTCTCTGAGTAAAAACTAAAAGTTTTAAATGAAAATACACAATAAGATTTTGGTCTCATTACCTGAAGAGTATGCTTTACAGTAAACGAATTTATAGAATTTTCTAACACATAAAATCTGAAGAAATCAATAAAGTTTACCCCTTTGAAGAAACCAAAGTGCATAGCTCCTCTTTTGGGGGCTAATTTTCCTAGTAGAGAAGAGAAGCTCTACTAACATCAAGAAACTATATAAACAAAATTATTGTTCAGTCATAAATTTCGACTTAACCAATGTCAAATTATGTGTATAAAGGCAACCAAGTTTCCCAAGATTCTTTTTTTTTTTTTACTGTGTTTCTGAACACCAAAAGGTCTCAATTGGGAAGCACCAAAATGTGTTTTCTCAACAATTAAATATTTACCAAGTACTTTTTATTTTTTAAATCTTCACCCAAAGACATGCTTATTGATTTTTAGGGAGAGGAAGAGAGAGAGGGAGAGGGGGAGAGAGAAACATTAATCCCAGATGCATCCCAACAAAAGTATGTGCCTTGACTGGGAATTAAACTTGCAATCTTTTGATGTACAGGACCAACCAACTGAGCGACACTGACCAGGGCAAAAATTTCCTGTTTTATAGCAACAAAGAAAGTAAATGAATATATACCTTGTTGTCTACCACCTCTTTGTCTTTCAACTATGTTTTCCTGACATACTTATAGTTTAAATATACTTTTTCATTTATATAAGTAAAATTCACTCTTTGGTATACAGTTCTATGAATTTTGACAAATACACAGTTGTATAACAGAACCACAGGTTTAGTTTTAAGCAAATTTTCAAGGTATATCCACTGAAGGAAAATTACAAAAACTACATTAACAATTCTACCAGGAATGGTTATATAGATATAGCTTCAACGGTCTCTATAAATATAAAACAAAACATTAAAAATGGAAAAGCTAATACTTACAAAGGAATGGAGTCATAAAATAGATATTAAAGCTAATCTGTGTGTATTAAGACTTCTCCCTCCTACAAGTCCTTTGTTTTTAAATGATCAACCCAAAATCATTACAATGCAAAAGATGTTCATTTACTCATTAAGCAAAAGTTATTTTTTAAAAAATATATTTTATTGATTTTTTACAGAGAGGAAGGGAAAGGGATAGAGAGTTAGAAACATCAATGAGAGAGAAACATCAATGAGCTGCCTCGTGCACACACCCTACTGGGGATGTGCCCACAACCAAGGTACATGCCCTTGA